ATGTCCCGCGCGCTCATATGACCTTATGCAGTTGCGAGCGCCGTTAAACACTAACCAAAAAATAAATAAATAATTATAATAATAAAAAAGCAATGAAGGGGACCTGACTATAATAATCGTTTCGCCAAATCGGAACGAAGACACAAATGATCCACAATCTAACCAACAAAAGGACCATAACTGCCCTGCCTGTGTAAAGACACTCATACATTACAGCTCTCTAGTGTTGGGGATGGCCGCACTTACTAGTCCAAGTCTTCTGTCCAGCTTTGTTTTGTGCCAATGTGTGGATCGAGGATCATGATTACTAAAACCTAATTAATCCCTGAGACTGCCTCCTTGGGGACTACAGTCTAATAGGACTACAGCCAAACTGCCTAAGACGGCCACCCATTGCTAAGGAGAAAAGTGGTCATCTTATGCAGGTGGATGTCTTGGACAGTGTCATTATGATTTAAAAAACAAAGTAAGGCGAGAAGTGGGAAATAGTTGTTTATACAGATGAATGTTTTGGACAGGTGGCCGTTAGAGCAGGATTGACTGTATTTGTAGTGTATCTAGCAGGGCATTGAACATAATACTCTTACAACACGAGAGCTCGACAAGACCGTTGAAAGAGTAATGATGACGCCATTTCCCTTGAAGTGGGAAATGGTTGTTTATACAGATGAATGTGTCGGATAGATTGCCATTAAAGCAGGAATCGGGACTGGTTGTATTTGTTATGTCTCCAATTGGGCACTAAACATATTGTAGGAACTGGATTCTTCTTTCTAGATCTAGTATCAGCATCATATGCAAGGCTTCACTCACTCGACACTGACAGAGAAAGAAAGTTCGGATCTCGAGACTTTGTTGTTGTCGTTGTGACTACTTTATTGCGCATGCTGACATCAAGGAAATTGCTAGTTTCAAATACACAGATATTGAATGTCGAACAGTACACTAAACAAGTTTACCGTACATCATGGGACGTGAGACATTACTATAACTAGGATAGACGCCACAATATTATACTCTCACTACACGAGAGCCCAACAAGTCTGCTTAATAAACCGTGGTGACGACATTTTCCTATTTTCTCTTTCCCCACCCACCCCCCTCCCCCAGGCATTATCCCCAAGTACAACGCCGCCCTGACCAAACTCCGAGACCAGAACACTCTCCCGGAAGCGGAGATCGTCCAAGCCACGGAGTCCGAGGCAGAGAAACAGGCCAAGATCAAGAAAAAAGGTAGGAGCGGTTCTGTGGAAGATGTCATCATCATCATCCGGTACCTTGCCGACTGGCGTGGGCGATCATGGACCTCCACTTCACTCTTTCTTGCGTTGCAGCAAATGATGTCTGTTGTTCTTGCTGCTCCCAGCCATGTTGTCAACTTGTCCAGTATCTTTTCCCTCTGTCTGCCTCTGCCTCTCTTTCCATCAAACTTGCCTGTTGTTACAATATTCCGCTGTGCTTCTTTTCGCATTGTGTGTCCAACGAAATTTGCCTGTCGCATTCTGTCAGGTTTATGACCTCCCCC